AAACTAAAAATTCTTTTAAATGTATTAGTCTCTTAAATCATGTAGAAAACAGTTACAAACTAGTATTACTACCCTTGCTCTTTTCCTTCCCTTGCTCCAGTTACAAACCAGTGTTACATTTCTACTAGCTTTTAAAATTGCCAACATTATACCTTTATTGAGATTTTTAGTCTGTCATAGGGCTTTAACTTACTGTCTTGATTTCATTTCACTGTGCAGGACTCCCCTGAGCATTTCTGGCAGGGCAGGTCTCATGGGAATGAACTCCTTCACTTTTGTTCATTGGGGAATCTCTTAGCTTCTCCCTCACTTTTAAAGGACAGTTTTGCCAGATACAGAATCCTTGGCTAACGGGTTTCTTTCCCCCTCTGAGCACTTCAACTATATCAGCCTTCTGACCACCAAAGTTTCCAATGAGAAATCTGCTGATAATCATATTGAAGATCCTCTGTATAAAATGATTTGCTTCTCTTTTGCAGCTTTCAAAGTTTTCTGGCTTTGGCTTTTGGTTATCCTGTAATAGTTTGATTATAGTAATGTCTCAGTGTGGGGCTCTTCGATTTCCTTTTACTTGGAGTTCCTTGAGCTTCTTGGATGATTATATTCATGTCTTTCATCAATTTTAGACTTTTCATCTATTTTTCTTCAAATCTTCTCTCTGCCCCCTTTTCTCTTCCCTTTCTGGGACTCCTATGGTGCATATATTGGTCCTCTTGATGGTGTCCCACCAGTTTGTCAGGGTCTGTTTGCTTTTTTCAATCTTTTTCTTTCTGTTCCTCAGCCTTGATAGTTTCCATTATCCTATCTTCAAGATCACTAATTCTTTCTTCTCCCTGCTCAGATATGCCTTTAAATACCTCTAGTGAATTTTTCATTTCCCTACTCCATTGTGTATTGTTTTTTTTATAAGAATCTTGTAGGTTGTCTCTATGTTGAGACTCATCCTGCAGTGTAAATGTAGGTCTTTTCTGAGACTTTCCCTGGGCATACAAGGTCACTTTCTAATTTTTCCCATATATGCTGTTGTTTTTGCATGTCCTCAGTCTTTAAGATCTGGCTCTCTAAGGGGGAAAAAGCAAAAAATGAAGAGAGGAAAAAGCACTGGCCTTTTAAATCCCTTGAAAGTCAAGTGGGGGATTACGGGGTTGCTTGAAACAAGGGCTGCCTCCCTATTAGTCTGTACCTCTGTGGTCAGAAGCACCAATCAGGGATCAGGGCACAGATCCCCAACATTTGGAGGACAAGGTCCTTTTTTGCCCACCCTAGCTCCAACAGGCTGTGTGCTAGTTGCTCCAGAAAACCTGAACAGCTGCCTGCCACATGGCTGGGAGTGATGGCTGGGTACATGTCACTATGCTTAGAGCTGAAATGGAGGGAAATTAACCACAATTACTGTCCAAGCCTTCCCCTGGAAGTTGTAAGTTTTCAATAGACTCCAGAGTTCCAAGATGGCTATATCAGATAGGTTCTGCAATCATTGTCTGGTGGAGAGACAGATTTATGGTGCTCCTACTCTGACATCTTTCTCTATTTCAAAATTTTTAATTTTTGTTCTTTTTCCTGCTATTTCTGCAGGAATATGGTAACTCTTTCTCTTTTGCTTAGTCTTTTGAGTGAACTTTATTCCTATTTGGTGGTGTTTGCTTTTTTTTTTTTTTTTTTTTTTAATACTAAGCTTTCTGGCTATATGTCCCCAGGCATTTATGAAGAGATCATCTTGTTACCTTTCAAAAACTTTTTTTTTTTTTTTTTTTTTAAAGATTTTATTTATTTATTTGACAGAGAGAGATCACAAGTAGGCAGAGAGGCAGGCAGAGAGAGAGGAAGGGAAGCAGGCTTCCTGCTGAGCAGCAAGCCCGATGCGGGACTCGATCCCAGGACCCTGGGATCATGACCTGAGCCGAAGGCAGCGGCTTAACCCACTGAGCCACCCAGGCGCCCACCTTTCAAAAACTTTTTATAACTTCTGCTATTCAGTCCAACAGCTTTAAGAAAATTTCATACATATAAATTTACAAACATAGAGAGAATAGTATCATGAGTCCCCAGGGTCCCATCACTAGCTTCAGCAGTGATCAACTCATAGCTAATATCCTTTTACCTAGATTCCACCAACTTCTCCACCTCCTATATTATTTCAGAGCAAATTCCAGGCATGTATCATTTCATCTGTGAATATGCCAGTCGATATCTCTAAAAAAGATATGGATTCTTTAACATAATCACAATATGATCATCACATTTAGAAAAACCAGTAATCCTTAATATTAAATATCCATAATCCATAAATGATTGGAGTTTTTAAACTTAGTTTGAATGAGAATCTAAATAAGATCATGCTCTGCAATATTTGTTGTGTCATTAAATCCCTTTTGGTCTACGGGTTCCCTCTCCAGCTTCTTGTCCCCCTGTCCAGGTATTGAAGAAACCAGGTCACTTTTCCAGCACTGAAGTGCTTCTTAGACTCTGTGTATACTGGAATCCCCCCCTCCTGAACCTGCATTTCTGACAAACATGCAGGTGATATGCGTGCTAGCCTGAGGAGCAATGCTCAGCAGTATGTCCCCCATGCTTTTGCATTCCCATAAACTGGCGAGATCTAGTTGAGGAGAAAATATTGTGACCCAACAATTTTACATCGAAAGAGAACTAGTAGGGAAAGGGTATCTTTTTATCCCAGTTACCCTGAGAAGAAAGAGAACAACAACGAAAAGCCCTCTGCCACCACCACCACATCCATATAGCAAAGGAGGGCAAGCACAGCAGCCCTGTGCCAGCTGTAGGATCACACTTACCAGTTAAGGGGATGGAAGTGAAGGACGTATTTAAAAAAAAAAAAGGTTATAATTGAATGCAATCATGTATCTTTTGGGACAAGTACCACTGGCCCTAAACATACCTACCCCTACAATGGGCATGTGTGGTTGGAAAAAAGTTGGTCCTGACACCCAGGACATGCTCTCTGATCCCAGGTGACCTGCATGAGCCCCACCAGCACCTGGGGGGGTGGGCTGTGTGTGAGCTCCATGTGGTCCCTCTGGCCACCTACCTCAGCCCCCCTCATACTCACAAGCTTTTCAGCCCTCCACCCCAAAGTCAGGGGAGTGTAGCCTGGAGGGCTCCTGAGGGGGGGGGTGGCCTGCATGCCTGTGCTGGTGCATGTGACACGCCATGGGACCCACAGTGGGCAAAGGAGCAGCAGCCCATGGGCCTTTGCTTAGGGTTGGGAAAACGTTGGTGAGTTCTATCAACAAATGGGGGAGGAGCCACAGAATCACCATGGCGGGTGGGAGGGTCCCTCGGGGCCTCCCAGGCACTGCTGAGGGAGTGGCCAGATGCAGCGGCCCATACTGGGTGGACCCATGTCAGCCCTAAGAACAGGGATTCTTGCTTGGGAAATCCCGACATATGATGGTCAGTGTATGCCATGATTGTGGAAGATTTTTATTTGGCATTATTCTTTGTTATTTCACTTAAAAATTGATTTTTGGAATTCTATTTCTAAATATATGCCCAAGGGTGCCTGGGTGGCTCAGTTGGTTAAGCATCTGCCTTCAGCTCAGGTCATGATCCCAGGGTCGTGGGATCAAGCCCTGCATTGGGCTCCCAGCTCAGTGGGGAGTGTTTCTCTCTCCCCTTCTGTCCCTCCCCCCTGCTTGTGCTATCTATCTCTAATAAATAAAATATTTATTTATTTATTTATTTATTTGACAGAGAGAGGGAGAGATCACAAGTAGGCAGAGAGGCAGGCAGAGGGGGATGGGGAAGCAGGCTCCCCGCCAAGCAGAGAGCCCGATGCGGGGCTCGATCCCAGGACCCTGAGATCATGACCTGAGCCAAAGGCAGAGGCTTAACCCACTGAGCCACCCAGGTGCCCCAATAAATAAAATCTCTTAAAAAATAAATATATGCCCAAGAGAATTAAAAACATGTCCTCACAGAAACCTGTCTACGAATGTTCACAGCAGCATAATTCCCAAGAGTCAAAAGGTAGGATCAGGGGCACCTGGGTGGCTCAGTGGGTTAAAGCCTCTGCCTTCGGCTCAGGTCATGATCCCAGCATCCTGGGATCGAGCCCCACATCGGGCTCTCTGCTCGGCAGGGAACCTGCTTCCTCCTCTCTCTCTCTGCCTGCCTCGCTGCCTACCTGTGATCTCTATCTGTCAAATAAATAAATAAAATCTTGAAAAAAAAAAAAAGGTAGGATCAACCATACATCCATTTCAACAAAGTATGGTCCATCAACACAGGGAACTGTCACATAAACCTCCAAAAGAATGGAGTTCTGACAAATGCCGTTAACATGGACAGACCTTGAAAACATTCTGCTGAATGAAGAAGCCAGACACAAAGGCCACCACTGTATGGCTCCACATTTATGAAGTGTCCAGAACAGACACACAGTGGGGGGGAAGGAAAGGATGGGGAGTGACTGCTAATGGGGAATGGGTTCCTCTGGGTGATGGAAATACTCTGAAATGAGATGATGGCAATGGTTGTGCAATTGTATAAATACCCTGAAAATTAATAAACTGGTTTTTTTTTTTTTAAGATTTTACTTATTTATTTGAGAGAGAGAAAAAGAGCACACAAGCAGGGAGAGAGCCAGAGGGAGGGGGAGAGGATCTCAAGCAGACTTGTCACTGGGCATGGAGCCCAACACAGGGCTTGATCTTACGACCCTGAGATCATGACCTGAGCTGAAATCAAGAGTCCAATGCTTAACTGAGCCACCCAGGTGCCCCCTGAATTATGCATTTTAAAAGAATTTTATAGGTATGTGAATTATGCCTCAATAAAGCTGTTACTTATTTTTTCATAGTGTTGTTAAAGATCTTAAATCTTAGTCCTGCATCTCAGCAGCATCTCTGGTCCCCGGGCACGCTCTCTGCGGTCACAGCCCCTTAGCCCTCAGGACAGTGATGGGGCAGTGAGGCTCAGAGAGGTGGAGTGCCCGGAGCTGCGCTGAGTGGGCAGGGCCCTGCCGGTCCCCAATCCAGGGACAAGGAGGTCAACCAGTTGAAGCAGTGGGTCACCACACTGATGATGTCCATCACCAAGGAGGAGGAGACTGCCGCCGAGCTGGAGCTCAAAGTCCGAGTCTTCCACTTTGGCAAGTACAAGGGTGTTCAGGAGGTAGGCCCCCCGATCAGCAGCCGGAGGGCAGCGAGTGTGGAGGGAGTGCGGGTGACCACAGGCCTGGGGCCCAATCCATTGACGAGCACATCTGGGAGCACCCAGTGCTGACCTCCCCACCTTCCAGGCTCTGTAGGGCTGATCGAGGGGCACTGGCTGAGAAGGCCCTTGGTCCCCCAACTGGAGTCATCTTGTGTATTTATGCCCCTTGGCCATTCAGCTGCCCAGCACACTTCCTCCGTTCCTTCCTTCTTTCACTCAACAAATACATCTGTTTCTTTAACACAAAGTGTCCAGAAGGTGACCCTGCCAGGAGGAAGAAGGCATGCCCCCAAGCCAGCCTGAAAGAGAGAGAGAATTCTGAGGGCACAGAGGGCCAAGAATGTTCCAGGGCACGCTGCACACTCTTCCTGACAGTGCACTGGGGGCATAGGCAGAGTCCCAGCTTCCTAATTCCCGCAAATTACAGTTGAACACCTGCCGTGTACCAGCCCAGGGCAGGTACGCAGGAGGCCAGAGCAAGCAGGCTGGTGTACCCGCGGCCTGCCAGACAGTCCCCCTGGGTGCTGGCTGGGCCCCACTCCTGGCCTGAGCCTGCCTGTCTACTGTTCCTTACTCAGTCCTCACGCCCAGTCCATGTGGTAGGGAGTTACTTTCTAAATGTAAGATCAGGCTGAGAGGGGAGATCATCTGCCCCAGGCCGCAGAGGAAGTCGCTCTCATAGGCCAGGGTCCTGTGGGAAGCTGAGGTCAGTGCAGGGGCAGAAGAGGGCCCTAGAAGGGGGGACTGGGCCCCATGGACACACTGAGGCAGCTGGGGTAGAACCTCAGTGGTGGCTGGAGCCCTGGGTCTGGCTGACCGCAGGAGGGCAAGGGCAGCTCTGGCCAAGAAAAGTCCCAAGTGTCTAAGGTGTTTCTCCCAGGCTTTGCCAGGGCTCAGGGAGGGCAGCTGCATCACAGCAAGGGCACTGGGTGCGGCGGGCTGTGCGGCAGGAGGGCAGGCAGAGGCCCACGCCACCCCTCTGCCGGCCTGCCCGCCTCACAGGAAAAGCTGCTGGAAAGCCTGAACCGCAAGGTGCTGGACGTGTACCAGCAATGCATCAGCAGCCAGCAGGAGTCCAACCTGGGCCCCGTGCAGATGCTCACCATCATCGAGCACCACCTGGACGAGCTGCTGGAAAATCTAGAGCGGGTGCCCCAGATCAAGATCGAGCAGGCCGAGAAGGCCAAGGAGAAGGAGCGCCGCATGCGGTAAGAGCCAGGCCCCTGCCCCGCCCTGATGCGGTCTGACCAGCCGCCTCACAACGCCCTCCACACCCCTGCTTCTGCTCTGGGCAGGCCCAGGCCAGCCCTGAGGACAGAGGTCGGATACAGACCCGTCCTCAAAGAGCCCCCAAACCAAGGGAGACAGGAGCTTGGTGCTCCATGCTAAGAGGTCTTCCAGAGAGGACCCCTAACTTAGTCTGGAGAGGGAGAGGATGTGGGCTCAGGGGGCCCAGAGCCAAAGTGAGGGTGTGGACAGCATGGCCTCACCCCAAGGACAAGGGACAGCAGTGGCCATCTTTCCTGCTGGATTGGGAGAGGAAGAGATCGTCATTGCCAGAGACCCAGGGAGGGAAGATGCAGACTCGGGGGGGAAGCCAAGGAAGCCCAGTTTAGTGGCAGGGGAAGGCAGGAAGACTTGGCAGTGTCAGAATGCTAGAAGCAGGCAGCATGGACCCACCCTCCAAGGGGTATGAGCAGATGGACCTAAGTCAGGAACCCTCAAGAACAAGGTTTAGAGGCCAACCTGGCCTGGCAGGGAAGGGTGGAGAGGAGAGGGGAGTGTTCTCCTAGAGGGAGGGCCAGGGCCTGACTGAAGGCTGGATGTGAGGCACTGGGAAGCAGATCTGGGAGCTTCCCCAGTGCCTCCAGTTCTTAATCGTCTTGTGCTGACCCTGCATCCAGACTCCGGGAGGAGAAGGTCATGATGCAGAAGCGGCTGCAGGAGGAGCGTGTGCAGCGGGCCCAGGCCCGGGCCCAGGCTGAGATCAAGAAGAAGGTGGGCAGGGTGGCCCCGGGGAGTCACTGCTGGGCAAGGGCCCCATGACCAGGCACTATGGGGCTGAGAGGAGCTGGGGAACTACAGCCAAGCCTGGCTCCCCGTTTTGCAGCTGCTAATTGCTGAGGCACTGGGGGAAAGACGGGGCCATCCGAGTAAGGCCAGGATAGAGCAGGCTGTCTCGTTCCTGGCCCACCAGTCCTACTGCCCCTTGGGACTGTCTTCCTCAGCAAGTCCTTCTGGGGCTGCCTGTCATCCAGCACACGCACTCCTGGGGGCGGAGACTGGCCTAGCTAGCCCCCTCCCAGTCCTTCCCAGGTGCAGCTCAGCCCCCATAGGGTCCCACCATTCCACCAACACTCCAGCCAGAGCCCATCACTCCAGCTCATCCCCCATCACTAGGGTTTCCCCTGACTGCCCCATAGACAAAGGCTAGAGCAGCCACTTTCTTCAGGCCCTGGGAGCAGGAGGGGTGCTCCCTAAAGCAGGCCTGAGCCCAGATACAGCCTCCAGCGGACAGAGGCTGCTCTCTGAATAGAATAGCGCTCTCCATGCTGTCACACGGAGTCGGCAGACACTGTGGGGTCTCCCCTTAAATCCCTGGAGCAAAGGAAGCGGGCTCTGTTTAGCCAGGTACTTGCCCGTGTGTTTGCAGGTGCGCCCCAACACACACACACATCAAGGGGCCTGCAACCCAGGGAACAGGCTCTGGAAATGCTGGGGAGGCTCACTCCCAAGTCATTTCAGGACAGCTCCAGCCCTGAGCCCGTGGGCTGATGGGGGAGGCCAGTACGTCCCTGGAACCCCACAGCCCCAGCTCCCTGGCTTCCAGGCACGCTCAGGACCTGGGCGGCACCTTCCGGTGCAGTGAGGCTTCGGGGCATAGCTCACAGAGTCCTCTCGCTCTGCAGAGAGGCAGGAGACTGGTGAGTCGCTCCCGGCCCCCAGCTCTCAAGGTGAAGAAGGAGCCTGAGCACGTGCAGACAGAGGAGGACAAGGATGAGCAGCTGCTGTTCTGCACCTAGCCTCCCGGCACCAGCTGGCCGCTCCACCCACAGCCCAGCAAGGACATCAGCAGGAAGCAGGGGCAGGGCGGGTGGGCCCGCGGCGGCTGTCACCCTGTCGCCGTGCCGCTCCAGGCCTCCCACTGTACATTTCCTTACTCATGTGAAATAAACTCCCCCTCTTTGGTGGCCTGATGGCCTGTTTAAGGAGGCAAGCTGGTTCCGATATCCGTACCCCCTCCTCTAATCCCTGAGCCCTAGGCCCATGGTTGAGGAAGGAGCTCATCTGGCCCTCAGGTAAGGTGGCTGCTTTGAGACACGAAGGCCAGTTCCACACTGAGGTGTGATATGCGGAGACAAGAAAGGAGGCAACAAGCTAGGCGGGTAAGAGGGTTCTCGCTACTGACTGAAAACAAAACATGACATCCACACTATACACACACTCCCGTGAAGTAAAGCCAAGTAACGCCATCAGTACATGACTGTACAAAAATTTTTATTCATTTGTACTAGAAGTTGGGCCCATGGTCACCACAGAACTCAGTGCCCAGAAAACTGACAGCCAGTACCAGTCATATCAGTGGTGGACATTCCCAGGAGAACGTTCTGGGGAATGTTCTAACCACCCAGCCCAGAGAGAGCATTCCTATGGCCCGGCCCCTCCTCCCAGCAGAAGGACAGGGCAGTGCGGCCACTAGGCGACCCAGCCCCCAAGACCACCCTGGCAGGCAGGCTGGCTCCTCATGGAGGGAGGGGGCTGCTGGTGACTTGGAGGCTGAGGAGACGGGCGGACAAAACTTTAGTCTGTGACACAGCACAGAGTTCTGTGGGTAAAAACCATTTCTGACAGGGCCCGAGTTCTCCCTGGGTGGAGAAGTACCTGGAGAGACAGCACCTCAGAGGAGGAGGACAGAGATAGGACTCACCACCAAATGCTGGGGTCATTCCCAAAAGCCAAGGCCAAAAACTCAGAAATGAAGAAACAAAGAACAGGCAGAGTTTGGACAATTCCAAATTCAAGAACCAAAACAGCATCTGGATCAACATAAGCCTCAAAGGTACACGGCGAAAAACAGCATTTCTGAGTGACCCCATGGCCAGTCCCACTAACAAACAAATAAATATGTGCAAGGTTATCGCCTCGCCTCCTGTGCAAGACAGACCGCACTCCGTAAAAATACATGGCCACACAGAACATGCACGTGTGCATTCTGGACAAGCAGACACACCATTCTCGCTGCCCCACACATCATGTTCAGGATTCAGACCGTGACTTTAGAAACCATGGACAAATTAGTATTAAACGTGAATACCCAAATACAGAATTTAGAAAAACGTAAAGTTTACCTCAACCATCCATCCCCAAATTAGGAGCTTTACATTTGGCCTCCATGCAGAGGGGTCGCTAACCCAGTGTGCCCCTCTTCACCCCCATCTCCTTCCCCCTCACACAAGCTCCCCCGCCTGCTCTGCCAAAACAGGGATTCGAATTTGGCTTCACTGTGACAACGGGACCACTTCTGCCCCTCGGGCTGACAGAATCAGCCCAAGCACAGCCACCACCCCAGGGGATGGGAACCAGCCTGCTAGCTCTCAGAAAGGGTAAAGAGTTTCTAGATCTTTCTCAGGCCAAATGCTGAGGCACGGAAGGTGAAAGATCCCATCTGCTTTTACCACAGATGAAGTCCTATCTGACTAGGGAATCTGTACTCCACCCTACCTCCTGCCTAAGTCTCTTCTCATGCAGCAGGGGCTCCATGGCTTCGCTCAAATGGGACAAGGGACATCCGTGTGCAAAGGCATGTGCTTGGCCCTGAGGGCAGGCCTTGCCTCATGTTCCTATAAGGCGATTTCCATGAATACTGCCCCAAACCGGTTCCTGATAAAACGTACGAAAAACATTTTTGAGAAGCGAGCCCAAAAGTCTTCGAGGAGCTCAGTGAGCCTCCTGAGCAGAAACCTAGTGGGATCTCCCCCAGGTCTGTAAGACCACCTAACGGAGTCTCAGGGCCACTGGCTGGAGGCGCGGCCCTTGGGTCCCTGGGGCAAAGGGCCGCGGTCACTGCAGGTCCCGAAGGTTGATGGTGCTCCCCGCACACTGCACGTCCTCAGGCCCGACAGCCCCTCCAGTTGCAGGAAGCACCTCCTGAAAAACCAAGCAGAGTAGTGAGGAGCAGAGCCGGGGACCGGGGCAGTGCAGGACCACCTCCCAGAAGGCAGCGGGGTGGCCACACACGACCAGCATCACAATCTACAGGGCCGGCCAGCGAGGGCACCTCCCACTTTCCTAAAGCGAACTGTTTTCCCCTTATTTTCACATATATTCCTTGAAGAAAGAAACTTGAGTGTAAACAAAAAGGCAAAGTGAACTTAATGCTACTGTGTTCTAGATCTCCTCGGAAATGTCCTTGTTCAATTTATAGCCCTTCCCCGTTCCGTGTGGGGAAGCTCCTCTCTCAGTTCCTGACCGCCTGTGGTTGTCATCGATGGCTGCGCGACCGCCCACCCAGCCCACCTCCTCGTGCTGGAAGACCACGCCCCCAGCATTAGCTTTGAGGCGATGGCAAACCTCTTTTGGCCAATTATGTGTGCACTGCCACATTTCTTTAAGAATGATCTCCTGAGTGGGAATACCAGGCAGAATGGAGTCGACATCCGTGAGGTTTTCTGAATACACGATCCCAAACTGCACTGGAAGGAACCCCCACTCCAGCTGCCTGGGACCCCCACCCACACCTCTGTCTACCAGCGCTTTACTCGGTATTTATTTTTGACCTTTTAAGGAAAACATTCAACAGCCCAATTTGAATACAAGAAAACTAAAATTATATGTGTAGGTCTTTTAAAAATACATATTTAAGGCTGAACTGTTAAAAATTTGATAAGCTACCTACTTTATTTTATAGCCAAATCTGAATTACCTATTGCCACCAATACATGGTTTATGCACTTACTTAAGCAAACTAACTCTCCTGCGTCTGTTTTCCCATAGGTCAAAAACTTGGCTGGCCTAGGGATGCCTGGGTGGCACACACAGTTGAGCGTCTGACTTGGTTTTGGCTCAGGTCTGATGTCAGGGTTGTGAGATCGAGCCTCATGTCCACTCCATGTTCAGTGCAGAATCTTCTTGGGTTTCTCCGCCTCTCCCTCTGCCCCTGCCCCTCGCCCCAAATATATAAATAAATCTTTAAAAACAAACCCTGGCCAGCCTATTTCCCATAGGAGAAAGTGACTAGAAATTTTTTTTTATATAGTCAAAGAGCATTTTATTTTATTTTTTAAAGATATTTGTCAGAGAGAAAGAATGCACAAGCAGGGGGAGCAGCAGGCAGAGGAAGAAGCAGGCTTCTTGCTAAGCAAGGAGCCTGACATGGGACATTCTGGGGTCATGACCTGAGCTAAAAGCAGCTGCTTAGCTGGCTGAGCCACCCAGGTGTCCCGTGACTAGAGTCTCTAAATAGAAAATATTTCAAGTGTATTAAATTTCACCTTATTTACAAAGAGGAGCTAAAAGGGGGAGCAAACCTGAGCTTTTTTCTTAGTCTTTTGTTCCTCGGTCATTTACCCACCTTTTCTAGAAAGCAGCAAAACGTCCCGGCCACCAACCCAGTGAGTGTCCACTAGAGCCCCACCTCAGCAACAAGCCTCAGAAAGCCAAAAGCTTCCTGACAGTCTTACTAACGGACCCAAAGAGCTGTAAGGCATCCAGACCTGGAGGACATAGACGGGCAAATCGACAGCGAACAGGGGGTGGAGGGCGGAAGGCTGCGGGCTGAGAACCGACGATGAGGCTGCTTCGCCTGAGGGCTCATCCTGGGGAGGCAATGGCATGTTTCATTTATCCAGCACAGCAACATTCCTCACTCCGGCCTGAGGAGTCCCCGTCACTCTGATACACAGCCCCTGGATTCCAGGCGAGGCCACACAGGGAGCCCGGTGAGGCCTGAGGACCCAGCAGTCACTGGAATCAGGGGCTGGGGGCTATTTACCTTTCCTCCTGGTCCTCAGTCTCTCATCTTGTTCCCAGCTTGAGGCCCGTACCACCTGCCATCTGGTTGCTCCCCGCTCCCAGGCCCCTTCCCTGGAACTCCCCCACATTCAATACCTCCCCTTAGCCTAGGCCTGAATTTCCCTCCCGTAGGCTGCTCCTGAACTCTGGCAGAGGCTCGCAGCAGCTCTCCAGTGGCTACCCCACAGCACATGAGAAGGCCCACCTCTGCCCCAAACCACGGTCAAGCTGGAAGAGACAAAAGATCACCGGTCTCTGGAGAGAGGGAGGCACATAGGCTCCTGATAATCACGCAAGTAAGAAAAGGGACACTATCTAACTGTTTAGCTTTCACCTGCACACCCAGCCCACAGCGGCCCATGGCCCTGCCACTCAACTCCCGATGCCACCGCCCCCATCAGCCCAGCCCTTCCCTGGCCTCAAGAACCTTCTGTGCCAAGCACTATCATCCCCACAGACAATAAAACTGAGGCCCGGAGTACTTAAGTAACAAGACAACACTAACTGGTAAAGGGAAAGGTAGAGAATTGAAAAGTGAGTTCTCTCTGCCTCAAGGCTCACGCCTTCAACTGGATGTCTTAAAATCTTTTTTTTTTAATTTTTATTTATTTATTTGACAGAGACAGATCACAAATAGGCAGAGAGGCAGGCAGAGAGAGAGGAAGGGAAGCAGGCTCCATGCTGAGCAGAGAACCCGATGCGGGACTTGATCCCAGGACCCTGAGATCATGACCTGAGCCAAAAGCAGCAGCTTAACCCACTGAGCCACCCAGGTGCCCTTCAACTGGATATCTTAAAGAGCAACTTCTCCCTTTCCAATGAACGCCTTTTCTGCCATGTATCAGCTTCCTTGAAGTTTCCGTCAGAACCTCCAGTCCTGCCTTCCCCACATCTCACCTTCCAGCCATGAGCATGTTCAGAAGGGCTCTGCTGCTCCTCCCCCAACCACCACAGCCCCCATCTCAGGGGAGCCCTGGCCTCTCTACTGCTCCAACACCCTGGCCCCACACCTGGAAAGAAGAGACCTGTTTTCCTGCTCACCTCTGCAGACCAGTCTTCCAACTCCCACCAAAAGCTCACATTAGCTTCTTGTTTTCTGTAAGAGCAAGGATGCTCACTGGCCCCATCTTCCAGGCCCTCCCCAAGCTCCACCTAGGCCATCCACCCTTTTATACTCTTCATAACCAGCTCGGTCCTATCTCCTCAACAAGCTTCTCCCAGGACTACATACCCCCAGGATCTGGCCACCCTCCTCTTCGGAGTCAGCTTGGCACTCAGAAGTCCTTGGGTATCTGTGCCTTCCCAGGCCCATGGTATTCTACGGCCCCAGAGTACCATGAACACAGGAGACGCTCAGGGACGAGGTGGCAGTGAGATCAGGCCAGGTCAGAGCTACATAGCCTCAGCTTCTAAGCCTCTTCTCTCCCCAAACAGTCCCAACTCGTTGTCCCTCTGTTGGACCCTCAAAAAGGACACTACAGACAAAGGTGCCCACAGAGCTGCAGTCAATGTGTCCAGTGAGCGTTCAAGGGGTGGCTGCCAGCTGCAGGCACCTGCTAGGCCCCGGCACAGCCCAAGAGGTGGCTGGCCTGCCCTTGAGGGGCTCATTTTGTAGAGAAGAAGAGCAGGTGAGGGGGTAGGGAGCCAGCATCCTTAGCACATAAAGACTCTATCCTCGGCGCACTGCGGATGCTCCCCAGACACAGAAGAGCCAAGCTGCGTGAGCAAAGCCCTTTCACCCCAGCCCTGAAAAGAGCAGTGGGGTCTAGGGAGGGGCAGGGCTGTGCCAGGTGTCCCGTGGCTCACTGCTCACCTCATGGGGACACAGAAGCGTCAATCCTAGTAAAGACAGAAGCTCAGACCAACAGAGCAGGACAGGGCGGGAGGAAGGGGGAAGCTGGGGTGATGGAGACATCATCCAGGACTTAGGACGTCAGAAGCAGCGTGGGGGGCAGTTCCTGTGGGGATGGAGCACTGGAGGGTGGGGGCTCTGGGAGACGCGCCCCGAAGCCTGGCCCCTGCTCCCACCCTGTGACCAGCATCCTCCGGGCTCACCGGCTCTTACCTGCAGTAGCTGTAGCTGAACGCACTGCACTCCGGCCGCCGGAGCCGGTGCTGGCTGACCTCCACTGGGCACCACAAGGTTCCCACACAACCAGCCAGGCTGGCTCGTGTGCAAGTGAGTAGGACTGACTTTGCCACCTTTCATCTTCCTCTGAGCGGACCCTGAGGCTCCTACGATGAAAAAGACAAACCGACACATGCAGGGTACCGTGCCTCACGGAGGCCACGCTCTGGGGACACGGCCTCCCCATCGTCACTGTGCACAGCCCTGCGGGCTTCAAACTAGTCAACAGGGAGAGTCACGGGCACGGGCTTCAGAGGCGGGGGAAAAAACAAGATTTTGATACCGTAGCAAACTCACAGATGTGTCTTCTGGACGCTCAGCGATCAGAACCCCAGTGCCCATTTCACGGGGGCAGAGGCTCCTCCTTACCCTGCAACGCCAAGAGCTGCAGGCACATGGGAGATCCCCGACTTGGTGGAGCTCAGATAGCGGGCAGGGCTACACAGTCGCAGAAAAGGAACAAGGGAAGGAAGCCAGCCACCACATCCCACCTCAGGCCCCTTGGTGTGTGCTCAGTAAGCCACCAAATCCCTTGGGCTGTTTTCTGTCCAGCTTCCTCCTCAAAAGTCACCGCCCCGTCGATCTCATAAAAACATACTTTTAAAAAAATAATAAAGTACAAAGAAAAATCAGAACAATCCAAACACCCAGAAAAGGTTTCTCTGACACACGTGCTTTGTGAGCAGCGCAAAACCCCAAGGACAGCGGCCTGGATTCAAATCCTGGCTCCACCCCTGACTCTGCTACCTGACCTTGGACAAGCAACGTAAGCTCTCACCTCAGTGTTCCCTACCTGTGAAATGGGAACAACACTCCCTACCACAAAGTTTTGGGAGGATTAAGTAGAGATTTGATGCAAGTTGAGAACAGTGCCTGGGTCCTAGTAAGCGCCAAGGAATTTCAGGTGCTGTGACAGCTGTGGCCGGAGAGCCTGGGACAGGCATACATGAGTGACTTCATAAAGACCATTTTACAGTGAACATCGTACAAGTTAACAAGGATAAAAGCATCTGATTTTTGTTGAATTTAATGAAATGAAAAGGAACAAGTGAAACTGAAGGCTATGCTGAACTTCTAGAAAACACATCTTCGTGAAAATGTCTAACGACTTGATGTTACAGGGAAAAGAGGAAACACATGAGAGGCTGCATTCTCTGTGTAGGTTTCTGTACTCGAAGTTTCCATTTTAAACAGGAACAGCTGACTCTGACACACAGGACACGCCGCCTCTGTCAGAGCAAGTTCTTGACACTAACACCAGCTCCTCTACCTCAGGGAGCCCAGTGCTCTCCTGCTGGCTTAGCTCCGGCCGCCGTCCATGCTTCTCCCCACTGCGGTGCAGCTTCCAGCTGGCAGACGGGCTGGGACAAGGGTGAGAGGCTATGGCCTGGGATCCACTCAGTAAGGAACTCCTCGTCACTCACTAGTCTCCCTACACATGCACGCTACTCCCCTCAACTCTGGCTTTTTCCCTGAATGTGTTGTTGGGCTTTGAAGTCTTTTATCCCCTAGCACCTTCCCTGTGATAAAAACAGGTACGTAAATTAAAATTCTAGTTTTAACAAAAACTTATACATTCCAGGAGTTGAAATCTTCATGTGAAAAATCAAGTTACTGTTGCAATTATTAATAACACAAGCCCAGCCGGAATAACTAAACCTAGCAGAAACTTTGACGGTGATCGAAAGCTTAGAACGCATAGAGAACAGCGTGACTGCCTGTTTTCCAGGAGGCTCATGGGGCTGGGGGACAGTACTACTCATTGCTAGACTCAGGCGCCTTTTGCCAAATAAAAAAGTATTTTAAATACAATGCTCGTGTGCTTTAAATGTCATTTCATCACAATCGCAGCACTCTGCAGCTGCAGCTAAGGGAGACGGGGCCTCGGAGCCCACGCAGCACCGGCAGTCTGCACTGTCAGGATGGTGCTCCTTCCCCCGAAAGGTCCAATTCCATTTTTCAGTTCAAATAAACATACTGAAACATGGTTCAAGGGATATTATGAAAGCCACTATGAAATCAATGAAGGAAGGCATCAAGTGATGCATCATTTTAAGCTACTTTTAAAAGCAATATTTAAATATGTACATTAATGCTTATTATTACTGAGTTTTGTAAGATAAAAACCAGGTCATTCTGAGCCATTTCTCATCTATGTCATAAGGATTCAATGAAAGCTGTGTAGCTCATACTCCGCGTTACCTACGAAGCAAGAAGAATGATCAAAGCCTTGTGTCCCTCTACTAGCTGTGTGCTAGCATGTATGCTATGCAAACGATGGGGAAATTAGGTAAAAACCATGTCAACAACATCAGAAATAGATCCCACTTAATTTTGCTGGACATCAGCGTTACAGGCTTCCATCACAAACAGTATACACTGCTGAAAAACAAGTCAGTGACGGGAACATAACTGTGTTTTTCTAAAGGGACGTAAGAGGCAGTAGTTTGGTAACAGGAAGGAAGACAGACTGCACCTAGAACACTTGGTGACACATCATAGGCTAAACTGTATTAGCTAATTACTGTATGAGCACACGTGTCATCACGTTCTCTTTACAGCCTGTCCCTTCATCTGGCACCTGACACTCTGGTTACTCCTGCAGATGCCACAGTTCCACTGAGAATCACTGCCCCTAACCACAGGTGCTCTGGGACCTTCTGCGGTTAACAACCCCTCCCGGTGACGAAATGTTCCCAGAGCTAAAAGGAACTGCTCGGGCTTACATATACCGCTGCTTTCATGGGACTCCCCGTAAAAGCAGCTGCTGCTAAGACGAGAGCAGAAGGGTGGGAAAGGTAAGGGCTGACCCCACCCCCAGGGCCCCCCTATGCTGTATCTCACCTCAGAACATCTCAACATGCCCGCCTAGGAAAACCAGTGCATGAGGGAGGCCAAGCTGGCAACAGAGCCCCAAGGCGGTCTTGATGCCTGCATGAACGGATCCATACAAGGCACCTCCCTGAAGCCATCACTCTGAAGTGTCCTGGGTCTGGGGCTCTGGAAGATTGTGTTTATATGTGCCCAGGGGGTGCTGCGCCACAGAGAGCTTGGTGGTGGGGAAGGACTCACTGTCGTGAAGGAAAGGTGGACAGGAGAGCCTGCAGAAGTCCTGGGCCCTAAGTCTCTAAGGTTACAAACGGAAGACCACTATGGGAAAGTGGACTCCCTTCAGACTAGCCATGCTCGCCTCCCCTTCAAAGTCTTCTAGTGCACCCAAGGTCCCAGAGTTCAGGCTGAGCACTGCCCACTGGCACCCTGAGAAAGCTGCGAGTGAAGAAGGCAGGGCTGGGAGAGGGGAACGAAAGCTGATGCGCTGAGCGCCCTGCACCTGGCCTCCAGACTCCCTGCTCCGGAGAAAAAACACCTTGCTGACCTGCTGTTGCCATCGGGGCAGGGTGTTGGGTTACGTGACCCCAGACGGAACATTGTACCATCTGACAGTGTGCCATCACCGCATACAATGTCTGAAAATCACACCCTTCCAGAGTTGGCTACACAAGCCCACCAAGCCACGGATGCCGGAGGGCTTAAAGCTGACACACGGCCTCTACACAGGACCCTACAATGGCCATGCAGGCATCCCCACTAGTAAAAGATGTCACGGCACTGCATGTAACGTGACCAACTTAACCTACAGACCAATGTCAAGAAACATAAAAAACTTCCTTCTCACTCACAGTAGAATCCAGAAAAACTTAGAGGGCAAGTCATCTTCAAATGAACTGAATTTTGCTTCAGTAATCTCAACATTTACCTGAAACACTGGATTGTGCTCGATAACCTGAAAGAGCAGGGAGAGGACAGAAGGATAAAGCTGGCCAGCAGGTCAGCTTCTGGCTAAGGAGACCTAAAAGACAACCCTATTTGGGCATGAAAAAGCCAAGCGAGCTGGAGTACGCCACTGCATGCCCCAAGTCCCCAACTCACCGGTGCACCGCGCTGCAGCATGACCATGACCAGAATCAGGTGAGGGCTCAGCCGAAGGGCTCTGCCGGCATACCTCCCGAAGTCGCCCCTAGGCTGACAGCTACAGAATCCAGTACCACCCCAAGCATGTGGCCTCCTCACCCCGGGAGAGCTCTGCGCTGAGTATGGTCAGCTCTCTATCCTGCATAATACGGGCTGCAATGGCTCACTTGCTCCCCCCACCAGGTGTGCAGGAGGGGCCTGATAACCTTGGGCTCTGCTGGGGATCCTCACTGAACCAGAAAGCACAGTGACCTGTCTCAGTAACTATTCCCCAGTTCTCCGAGGGATGGGAGGCTGGCCCCATTATGTATCCTGGATGGTGGAGGGCACTGGAGCCTAACCCCTTCATAGTTCCTGAAGTGGTCTGTCCTACACGGCTAGTAAAGAATAAACCACAAACATGTATTTATTCACACGGAAAAATAGTCATGCTTAAAAGCAAAATGCAGATAAAAATATATGTATATCATTTCTTAAAAAAAAGCAACAGGTGTAGTTTATACACATGGGAAAATATTCAACATGGAAATGCCAGAAGCGGTTTGCCCTGGGTGGTGGAACTACGGTGGGGTGGGGGGGAAGGCATGTACGAAATCACCATTACTTTTCCTGAAGAGTAAACCCACGTTACCAGAACCACTGACAGGCTGCGCAGCCTTCGCTTACTGGCCCACGTGCCTCTGCTCTGGCTGTCCCCAGCTGCCTAGATGGCCTGTTCCCCGCCAGAGCACCGGCCAGAGCACTTTCATCTCCAACACTCCTCAGCAGGCCTGCATCACCAGCACAGTGGTCTCCCTGACCCATGCCCTCTCATTTTTGAAGTCTGCATGGAGATTTTAACGAAGTTATTCTTCCAGATGAACTTAAAATGGACAGATGGTTTTTTTTCTTTTAAAAGGTTCCTTTGGGATTTTAAAGGAACTGAATAAAAGATGTAAATTGACAGAACAGAGTGTTCCATCCAAATATATAATAAGCTGTGGACAGGGCCTTATCCAGGCCCAGCCTATATGTCACTGGTGAAACTGAGATACTTCAGTACTTCTATGGCCACTATGAATGAGATCTATTTTTCATTACTGTTTTTCCAATTACTGTAATAGAAAAGCTACTCCTGTGATATATGCAAACACTT